GAACGCTTCTCAACTGGGTGGACGTAAGCTGTTTTCTTTGTGTTGTCTTCTTTGTTCCCCACAATGCCTTTGGTTTCGCAGAGAGATTGTAGGAAACTCCATCCACCCACGTCAGCATTTGGGCTGATGATCTGCTTCTTGGGAAAATGTTCAAAAGCTTGTCCAACAATTACGGACATTGTTTCTGTTATGTTATAAGCTCAAAACAAAGAATAAACTGAGAAAATGAGAGAGAGAAGATTGAGGGCTGAAGATGAAGGAGAGTGGAGGGCTTGTGTGTGTATTTATAGTGCGAGTCTACTTTAGGTTTATGGACTTCTTCTGATTTGCAGTTATGAATATTTTTTTACATGGATTGGTAAAAATTAATGATAATGTTAGCATCAATCACCATTCAGGTAGAATCAGAATTACATCACTTTTCATTCGTTTTAGACTAAAATTACTAAATTAGTGATATACTCCATCATAAAATCGAGTATCAACGAAGTAAACAAATAAAATGTCAACGAAATATAAAATGGAGTACCAGTGTCAAAAAAGGAAATGCATCATTACTTCGTTAGGAATTTAACCATATACTAGTGATTACTATTTGTTTTTTTGTCAGTATTGTGATTACTTTTAAATTTGTAGTAGCCTGAAAACGAATATTCGTCCTATCAGCAATTAAGCACCGTGGAGTGGAGTGGAACCTATTTCCATTTTTCTTAATATTTGTATTCTTCAGATTATCCTATGTTCTTTTTGTTCTTTATATATTTGTTTAAATACCGACCCACGTTACATGCATACACTTACCCACGTACATACTCTAAAGAGTATTTTATTAAATTATTTGTGTTACATGTAGTAATTTATTGGACATTTGTACAGTATAACGAAACCATAATCGATTTGATCATTCAAAAGATAAGTAACCAGGACTGTGGATATACATCATAGTCTATATGATTTGTGCCTAGCTATAAGACACATTACAAAGCGTAAACCACATATATAAAATCGCTGAGAGCCTTGTCATTTCATACCTCCGCGGGGAAAAAAAAAGATATAAAGAAAATCCTTGAAACAAACAAAAACGTTTACGAAATGGACATATCTATGATGAAAGATTAAAGACATGTGCGCTCTCTAAGGGCAACTAATGTGTGATATCTATGAAAGGGATATGTTCTTTGTTTATGTGCATTGGATACCGAATCAACGCCTCCTCCATAGTCATGACTCATGAGTCTTATGACAGTATTTGATGCATTCATGCACTTACGAGATGAGAAATTATACATTAGCATTGACGTCTACGTAATTCTTTGGATTATACATTAGGAAACTATATATATAATGGCAAAAGAAGTTTCTAATTTAAGCGAAGAAAACTATTCAAAGACGTGTGTTGCACAAACAACGGTTTCGGTATCAATGGTTTTAAAAGCTAAAGCAAAATATGTTAATGGAGTAGTAGCTTTGCTAAGTAAGTGAAAAGCTAAGAAGAATTTGTACCATTCTCTCTCATTCCTCAACGAGCCATAAACCATTCGAATGTCGCATTCGCCAATCTTTAACTTTTTGATCTTTTTGCTACGATTGGTGCTTAATAGATTGTCCGAACCAATCAGAGGAAGAAGGAGAAGGAAAAGATGATTCTTTTGCATCATCAACATTCCACTGCTGACTTGAAATTATAATGTTAGGGGAAATCAAAAGTGAAGATCCTTCCTTCAGATTTTTTAGTTATTTTGTTGAGTCTTTATTCAACTTTGTAATCTTTTAGTAGCAACAAAGCAATGTGGAATCTCTCTCATGTTTACACAAACATGTCAACTGGGAATATTCTTTTCTCTTACTTTTGACTATACTCATACCTTTGTATATAACAACATTTAAAGGTTTGGTTATCAAGGAGACATGTCATTAGATGAAAGTTAAGGATTCAATTTTCTAAACATAAGAACGTACGTTTAATCATTAATCTAATGGAACAAGCACTTACTAAACTTTATTCTGCAAATTCTGGATTAGAAGAACTATTTTTCCTCAGAAAAGAAAGTTGTGTGTTAGCTTTATATATCATAGAAAAAAACCTATCAAATAGTGACAATTACTCATGCAAACCTATGTGTGAATTCTTTTATTTTCCATATTTTAAGTTTCGAAGTCAAAAGAGTAGTATATAACAAGGTCTCATATAACAACGGCCTCAAAAAATTTGAATTTTGTTTTTTTTTCCGAAAAAAAAATAAAAGGCTAACTTTTAAATCAAAACTCTAAAATCGAGTTTTGATAGAACATTGTGCGCAATTTGCCGTTGTTTGAAACAAAATTGAAATCAACTTATCTTTTGACTTTGGCGGTTGGAAAGTTCCTCGGACAACCAATTCCTTCTTCTGGTGTCATCTTTAACTTACCAATTAATATGAGTGAACTCAAAATCTCAAAAACTTCCACGAATTTCATTAAACCTGTTATATATGTATAAAAGGAATTAGTCAAATGACACTTATACTTGTGATGTGAATTTGAGGTACATGTACACCAATGATCGATATATAAACACTCAGATTCTGTAATTTTTTCAAGCTGAGTTCTTTTACTGTCTAAGCAATTCATATCTGTTCCGGACACTCTTTTTTCGTTCTGTCAGAATATCAATTTCATTTCTTTAGAAGGAAGTTCTGTAACACTACCAAACACACAAACTCTGCATGCTTCAACATTATTGTAAAGCAAATTGTTTAGGAGGTTCAAGGAAAATTGTGTACTAAAAGATTTTTTACTTGACACAATACGTGACCAAACTAATACAACAAACAATGTGGAAATGGATTTGTTACAAATATTTTATCTTTGAGAGCAAGAAACTACTCAAAAGCTTACATATCAAGGTCTTGCGAAACAAAACAAATCTCAGACAAGTGTTTTGTTCGTTATTCTTCTTCTTCTTCTTCTTCTTCTTCTTCTGCTTTTTCAAAGCTTTCGTTCAGAGATTTCGAGACATGAAGAGCTCTTCTTTCCTCGTCTTCTTCTACTTCTTCTTCATCATCGATTTCAGGAACAGGGGATGAGAAATCTAAGCATAAACCTTGCTCGTATGAAGGAGAAGAGAGATCTTGAGATGTGAACTGATGGTACTCCACCATCTGGTGAAGACACTGGTTTTCCCTAACCAAGTTCGCGTTCTCGTTGGCTAATCTAGCTTTTTCCGTTAGCAATACCTCTAGTTGTAGCCTCACCTATACAATCAAAATCAGAAACATAAGAGAAAGAAACAAAAAACAAAACAGAGCAAAAGCAGAACAGTTTTGGAGATTTAGTACAGACCAAATCATCTTCTTCAGGTCTAACACCTTTCACAAACCCATCTCTAAGCCTCTTGTTCTCTTCTTCAAGCAACCCACAACGCTCTTGGATGAAACTAAGGTCGGATTTTATCAACTTAAGCTCTCTTGCAAGCGAATTCGCTTTCGCTGCCATGGTTATCGCAATCTGCAAGAAAACAAAGATTGAATCTTTTTATTTTATAAATAACAAAGATTGAATCTTTACATGAATTTAACACACAAAAGAAACAGAGCGACTTACGTTCTTAGCTCTCTTCATGATCTTGCTCTCTTTTGGTCTCGTCTCGTCTTCACTCGACGAATCATCTTTAACTTCATCATCAGATTCGTGTTTCCTCTTCTTCCCTTTACTCTCTTCTTCTTCTTCCTTTTGTTGTCGTTGTATCTCTTCAGCTTTGAGATTCGAGTGGAGTATCTCTGACAATGAAGGTGGCTTAGCTAATTCTCTAACTCCCTAAAGTTTACAAAAACACTCTGTTTCATCAATCATGGAGTTGTGACTATCTTCATTTCAGAAATCAGATTAATTGGAAACTGAATTTACCTGAAGGGCATTGTCGAGGTTACTAGAAAGCTGAGATAGAGTATGAGATACAGAGTCGAACCCTTTAAGCAAAAGCATCGAATCGTTCTTCAATCTCTTTGCTCTCTCTGTTTCTCCAGCAAGCGTTTGAGATTTCAATGGAGAATTGACAATGGGTTTGCGGTCTCTGCTCTTTTCTTCGAGAAGAACATCTATCCTATTACGCAGATTGCTCCATAAACGCTTGTCGGAAGACGGACTAAGAATAAGCGATGGAGAAGATTCTAAAGAAGTTGCAGATACCATTGTCAAGGTTGCTCCTTCCTGTTTAAACAGAGATGAGTTTTTATGAAATTTTCAATTTTGAATCAAACCCTATATTGTTTCTTGATCGGAGAACTGTTTGAGAGGACAAAGAGCTTACCTTGTTAGTAAGAATAGGTGATGATGGAGTTTCTACAGAAGCAGCCATTGATGGAGAGAGAAGAAGAAGAGGGAGAGAGATGTAACGGCTAGTTTATTGAAGATGGGAGATCGGGAAAGAAGAGAATTTTAAATAGGATCTTGGAACTCGGCCCAACGTTCTGATTTTCTAACTCCTTTAGAAACTAATTTTTATCGATTCAATAAATGGACAGAGACAAAACTAGATCTAAAAGTGGGACTTTGGTCGACGACTTTTTCACTGTAACTAAAGTATCTAGGGATGGATTGGTAGGTCCCACTTTTTGAGTCCAACGGTTGTTTCTCAACTTCACAATCTCTCCAATTTAGAAAAATGGTTAGAAAAATGGGAAACAAATTTCACAAGATATTCAAATATATGCATACATCCTGAGATGTCGAAAGGAGTTGTTGGTTTAGTCTCTGATTTATCTATCATTTCACATAAACATATATGCATACATTTGATTTTGGAACAAATTAGTTAACGACTGATGTTAACGACTGATGTTATCCTTCGTGTTACCATTCAGATTCAGCCCAATTAACTTTTTTTTTTTCTATATCTACGAATAAAAATTAGACAGATACGCTTAATACATCAAAAGATCATATACATATGCATTTATAGTTCATAATTTTGAGCATTACACTCTATGAACCTTACTTAGAAGTACACAGAGTCCTCCTGATCACAGTGGAGGTCTCTCCAGTGAGATATACCCGAATTTGCCTTTGCGAAAATCAGTCAGTATTCTAAATGCTGCTTGATGACTATCTCCACCGAACAAGTTAAGACCAAGCGTCTTCACAAATCTGCAAAAGAGAGAGAGAGAGAGAGAGCATGAGAATCAAGAAGAAGCCATGAACAAATGGTTGCCAAATGAAATGTGATTTTTGTGAAAGAAGATTCATTACTTTTTACCGCAGCCGCCATCTAGCTGGATCTTGTATCGGTTGTAAAGAGCCTTTGCGCCTACTTCTGGAATCCGTGCTAACATCTGTACAAGGATTCCAGCAACATCAGTGAAGTCGTAAGCTTTCTCTCCAATGTCATCGCAAATCGCAAGCTTTATAGCAGCTGCTTGATCATCAATACGCATAGGAAGCATTCCAGGTGAATCTAACAGATCAAGATCTTTCCCCAGCTTGACCCATCTGTTTACAACAAGACAAGTAAAGTGTAGCATAAGGATCTTGAATGTGTTTGTGAAAACTGAGTTACAAAAAGCAAGCGTTATTACTTCATTTCTCTAGTAACACCTGGTCTTGGAGCTGCAGCGCAAATTTTGCGCTTTAACAGACGATTGATCAAAGATGATTTTCCGACATTAGGGTATCCAATTATTCCAGCTCTAACCTGCAATCATTTGAAAAATGAACTTAAGATTTTTGAAATCATATATGTTGCAACAGAAAACAATGGAACATGATGATGTATTAAACTCACTGATCTAGGGAGAAGTCCTTTTTCTCGCCGTTTCCCATTTACATCACCTGCTAAACTTCTTGCTAACCGACCTAGCTTCATGGCTCCCTGTAACCATCACTCAGAGATCAAACCAGCTCTTCCAAGAAGAGAGAAACAAAACCTTTAAAAAAAGACCATACCATCCCAAGTTTGCCATTGGTGAAAATGACTTTTATTCCTTGCTTTGCAAAGTATCTCGCCCAATCATTTCGATCATCGTTCGATATCATATCTTCCCTGTTTAATACCAATATCCGTTTCCTATTCCCAAGCCACGCATCCATCTACAAGATTCCACACACATGGTTCCACAAATAGCACACATTATTGAACCACAACAAAGAAAGTCCCCTCTAAAAACTCAAAATGTGTTTCTCTTCTAAGCAATGCTTCCTCAATAACCAGTTTCAGTACCGATTAGCAGAATCATATTCTAAAACACTAACCTTTGGATGAGTAGTGGATAGAGGAATCCTAGCATCTCGGACTTCAATCACAACATCCATCAGCTTAAGCTGTTCTCTAAGTTCCTTCTCAGTTTTCATTATATGTCCTGGATACCTCATGCCCAATCCCGGCAGGCACCAACTTCACTTACCATTTCCAGCCTAAGGACCAGATCGGTAGTTACTTCTACTACCCATCAACCGCTCTCCACCGTTTCTCCGGTGGTTTCGGTGGTCTCCGTGTCAACAGCCGTCTCCTCATCCCAGTCCCGTACGCAGATCCCGAAGATGACCACACCATCCTCATCAACGACTGGTTCACCAAGAGCCACACCGCTCTCAAGAACTTCCTTGACAGTGGCCGCACTCTTGGATTACCCGACGGTGTTCTCATCAACGGTAAATCCGGTAAGGTTGGAGGAAACAACAAGCCACTCTTCACCATGAAGCCAGGGAAGACTTACAAGTACAGAATCTGCAACGTCGGATTCAAGTCAACTCTTAACTTCAGGATCCAAGGACACAAGATGAAGCTTGTTGAGATGGAAGGCTCCCACGTTCTCCAGAACGACTACGACTCACTCGACGTCCACGTCGGACAGTGCTTCGCCGTTCTTGTGACCGCTGACCAAGTGGCAAAGAACTACTACATGGTTGCATCCACTAGGTTCCTCAAGAAGGAAGTGAGCACCGTTGGTGTGATGAGCTACGCAGGAAGCAAAGTTCAGGCTTCAGCCGAGCTCCCCAAGGCTCCGGTCGGATGGGCTTGGTCTCTCAACCAGTTCAGATCCTTCAGATGGAACTTAACCGCCAGCGCGGCTAGACCTAACCCACAGGGATCTTACCATTACGGAAGGATCAACATCACACGTACCATCAAGCTTGCCAACACCAAGAATGTTGTCAACGGAAAGGTCAGGTTTGGTCTCAACGGTGTGTCCCACGTTGACACCGAGACTCCCTTGAAGCTCGCTGAGTACTTCGGTTTTGCCGAGAAGGTCTTCAAATACAACATCATCAAGGACGAGCCAGCAGCCAAGATCACAGACCTAGTCGTCGCGCCAAATGTCCTCAACATCACTTTCCGTACCTTCGTCGAAATCGTCTTCGAGAACCACGAGAAGAGCATGCAATCATTCAATTTGGATGGTTACTCCTTCTTCGCAGTCGGTTCCGAGCCAGGGACATGGACACCAGAGAAGAGACAGAACTACAACTTGCTCGATGCTGTTAGCAGACACACCGTGCAAGTGTACCCCAAGTCGTGGTCAGCAATCCTCTTGACATTCGACAACGCTGGTATGTGGAACATCAGGTCAGAGAACTGGGAGAGAAGATACTTGGGACAACAGATGTACGTCAGTGTTCTCTCACCTGAAAAATCACTAAGAGACGAGTACAACATCCCACTCAACACCAACCTCTGCGGCATTGTCAAGGGCTTGCCTTTACCTACCCCCTACACTATTTAAACTCACTTCGACAAAGTTTTTTTATTTCTTTGATATGTGAATTTCTACTTTCCACAAGTGAGTTGTATTATCTGACTAATTAACCCTTTCCTAATTTCATTAACATATACTATTATTAATTGTTGCTTCTCTCATGGTAAACAAAAATGAGCTTATACGTACCATATAACCCTCATTAATTCAGTTTTGCAAAAACAAAAATATAACCCTCATTCTATACAAGTTCTCAAAAAAAAAAAAAAAAAACCCTCATTCTATACACAATATAATAGATTAGTGTTCAATTGCATAATCTCAAGAGTTGTAAGTACGTAGAAATATAATCTGTTAAGGTTGTTATTACCTCGCATATCCTGGCAAATTGTCTGTGAAGTGTGAATCATTTGAGTGATAAAATCGATGAGTAAATCTGAACAGAAAATACTTAGCTAATATATACCCTGAATAGTACACTAAGGAATAAGAGATTCAAATTTTGGAATTATGGCCAACATATTTTACAGCTTTATTTTGTTGGAAAGCACATAAATCTAAGTTTTAACTGTTACATCATCCTCTTTTCACAATCAGAATCGCAAAACCCTAAAAGGGAAAACTAATTCAAGACCAAAGATAAAACTCAAAAGAGAAGAAAAAGAAACATAGATAGAAATAAACCCTAATCCACCTGAAAAGTTAAAACTTCACCGGAAGCAAGTGTGCGTGACAAATTTAAAACTCTCATCGCCATCGCCATCGCCATCGCCCAACGGAGTCGGAGAGCAAGATCGGTGACGCCTGAGTTAAAAGTCAAACATACAAAAAGAAGAAAAGAGGAAAGTTCACGCGCGCGTGTGTTGTGACGATGCGATTCGAAAAAGAGTATTTGTACTTTTTTCCCTTAAGTGAGTACTTGTACTCAACCTTAAATAGTTACTTGATTTTGTTTTACTATCATTTAATTGAATTTTTTTCTCTAATACTATTTTTTACCTTGTTGATTTGGCGTGAGTAAAGTTTGTTACCTCTTCGGGCACACTTTTTTTACTCATACGTACTAGTGAAATCTAAAACACAAAACAACATATACAAGCACGTGTTGTGTAAACAACATTCATCAACTTCGCAAACTAAACAAATGCAAGTCCGAATTAACCAACGAGACAAACAATAAATATGTACTTGAGTATATACCTGTGTTTTTACGACGTTTTCAGTTTTAATTGTTCTTATGACCTTAAATTATAAAATTTTATATTCTTCCATCTATAATATATAGACTTATATTAGAGATTAGTCTTGACTTTACAACACAAGATCGTTAATTTATTAGGAAAAAAGTAGAACATTTGTGGACCGACCTCGTTTAATTTGTTCGCATTTCAATTA